GCTAGGATTACAGGCGTGAGCCACCGCGCCCGGCCAGGAGTCAGTTTTTGTTGTACTTTAAGTGCTACCTCATTTGAATACACAGAGCAGATGAACTTCAGATCCCTGATATAGTTGATTCTTACTTTGTATCTTGAAAGATGTTCAGTAGAAGGGTTTTTGTGTCAGCATCTTCTTCTACATTTCCAGTGTAAAGATCGACAATCGAGCGCTCAAAATATGGGGCCACCTTTGACAAAGCTCGAAGTTCAATCAAGTATAAAAAGTACAGATTCTTTAGCCTTCTTGGACCTTCTCCCTTGGTTTCCACAGGGTCAAAGCGGTGTTTAAATTCTTTGATATTAGGTCCCCAACTAGGTTTACCCCAGGTTTCTAAAGAGAGAATACATTATGTTTTTTAGTAAACAGGATATTTTTTTGCTTTAGAGATATGAATTTCCCCCCAATAATTTTTACATTATTAGAAGGCAAAACTTCCACTTAAAAATCTGATTACCTTCCAAAAGATAATTTGCACACAGATGTAAATTGATACTAGCATGAAGTCCCGATATAAGCTTATAGAAGACTCTCTTCTCGAGACACAAACCTATTCAGAAAAATATTGAAAAATAAATCACACCCATTTCGATAACAGAAATATTGAAAAAAGGAGATTCAGTACATAGACTTATTTTCAAAGTTAACATTCAAAGATATTAAAAATAAATCAAGGAATAACATAAAAACAATTAGATCAAGATTCTCTTACTAGAAGACAAAACAGGATTTTGGCTTTAGAATGGAGTTAACCGAAGATAATGAGAACTTAATGCAGAACAAGGCAGAAAAGTTTGGGCTACTGGAAGTCCAAACACTATGAATACAGTTGGCAAGTTCCCATGTTACCCAGAAGGCAACAGCACAGGCATTTTTGTGATTTAGGCTAAAAACTTACTAAAGCAGACAATTATAAAGTCAGTGCTTTGACTTAACAATAGCTGTTTCTCCTTTTCCCTTCTCTATATGTGTTCTTTTGTTGAACCTACTTGACAATGAAGAAAGAAGGTCTTAACTAACTTTTCTGCCCTGGAATTCTCTAATTTCATTTACCTATATATTCTACTTGCAAGGAGCTGAAACTTGGTAAACAGACATCTAGGAATTTCAACTAATAAAAAATACATGTGGACTATTTATTAATATTATTTGAGTAGCATCATATGAGATGGAGTTCAGGATATATGAAGGGAAATTATTTTACGCAGCCGTCTTAACCCACACAGGCTTTTGCTCAAAACTTGTGACAGAGGTCAAGATAATCCCACCATCCTATCCTTCCCCGCCTCCATTTTAAAAAATTTTCTCATATAATACTAACAGATTGTGAATATACTTAATATCACTACATAGTAAACTTAAAAATAATTAAGATGGTCAATTTTATGT